CAAGCAATAAGTCACCAGGACCAGATGGTATTCACCGAAGAGTTCTGAAGGAACTCAAATGTGAAATTGCAGAACTACTAACTGTAGTGTGTAACCTATCATTTAAATCAGCCTCTGTAACAGATGACTGGAGGATAGCTAATGTGATGGCAATTTTTAAAAAGGGCTCCAGAGGTGATCCTGGCAATTACAGGCCAGTAAGCCTGACTTCAGTACTGGGCAAGCTGGTTAAAATAATAGTAAAGAACAATATTGTCAGACATATAGATGAACATAATTTGTTGGGGAAGAGTCAACATGGTTTTAGTAAAGGGAAATCATGTCTCACCAATCTACTAGAATTCTTTGAGGGGGTCAACAAGCATGTGGACAAGGGGGATCCAGTGGATATAGTGTACTTAGTTTTTCAGAAAGCCTTTGACAAGGTCCCTCACCAAAGGCTCTTAAGCAAAGTAAGCTGTCATGGGATAAGAAGGAAGGTGCTCTCATGGATTGGTAACTGGTTAAAAGATAGGAAACAAACGGTAAGTATAAATAGTCAGTTTTCAGAATGGAGAGAGTTAAATAGTGGTGTCCGCCAGGGGTCTGTTCTGGAACCAGTCCTATTCAACATATTCATAAATGATCTTGGAAAAGGGGTAACCAGTGAGGTGGCAAAATTTGCAGATGCTACAAAATTACTAAAGATAGTTAAGACCAAGGCAGTTTGTGAAGAGCTACAAAAGGATCTCTCAGAACTTGGTGACTGGGTAACAAAATGGCAGATGAAATTTAATGTTGATTAATACAAAGTAATGCACATTGGAAAACAAAATCCCAACTATATATATAAAATGATGGGGTCTAAATGAGCTGTTACCACTCAAGAAAGAGATCTTGAAGTTACTGTGGATAGTTCTCAGAAAACATCCACTCAATGTGCAGTGGCAGTCAAAAAAGCAAACTGAATCTTGGGAATAATTAAGAAAGGGATAGCTAATAAGACTGAAAATATCATATTGCCTCTATATAAATCCATGGTGAGCCCACATCTTGAATTTTGCATGCAGATGTGGTCGCCCCATGTTAAAAAAAAATATATGGAATTGGAAAAGCTTCAGAAAAGGGCAACAAAAATGATTAGGGGTATGAGGAGAGATTAATAAGACCGGGACTTTTCAGGTGGAAAAGAGACGTCTAAGGAGGGATATGATTGAGGTCTATAAAATTGTGACTGGTGTAGAGAAAGCAGATAAGGAAGTGCTATTTACTCCTTCTCATAACACAAGAACTAGGGGACACCCAATGAAATTAATAGGCAGGAGGTTTAAGACAAATAAAAATAAATATTTCTTCATACAACACACAGTCAACCCATGGAACTCCTTGCCAGAGGATGTTGTGAAGACTAAGACTAGAACAGGGTTCAAAAAAGAACTAGATAAATTCATGAAGGATGGATCCATCAATGACTATTAGCCAGGATGGGCAGGGATGGTGTCCCTAGCTTCTGTTTGCCAGAAGCTGGGAATAAGAGACAGGGAATGGATCACTTGATGATTACCTGTTCTGTTCATTCCCTCTGGGGCACCTGGCACTGGTCACTGTCGGAAGACAGGATGCTGGGCTGGATGGACCTTTGGTCTGACCCAGTATGGCCATTCTTATGGTCTTATGTTCTTATGCATCAATTTATTTAAATTGGTGCAACCCTCATATGTTGTGAGCTGTTGAACCAATTTAAGAATGACCCCATAAGAGGGTTGTCCCAGGTTCACTAAATCAGAGTACAAACCATGTGCAGAGAAGGCCTTAGGCACATTTGAAAATTCCATCCTGGTTAAGTGACTGAATCACTGTGAACACAAGAACAGCAAAAGAATATTCATTAATTTGCTGCTTAAATGTTTGGAGGAATTGTTGTTATGATTTCTCCCAATATTAGGGGGTAACTGTGGATTTTTCAAAAATACACTAATTAATCTGGCAATTTCTGAATGTTGCTTACTGCTAAGTGCCAAATGCTTTTCTGGCATAACCCTTTTGGACTCTTGGTTTTATGAGCAGAGAATTTGCCCCTGAACTCTGTGCCCTCTGAATAGCAATGAATCAAATTAGGATAAATCAGTGTTAAAGGTGTGTTGATTGGAGCCATTTTTAAAATCAGTTTCTGGTCCTTTGTGTAGTGTAGACATGGCCGTTCTTTCACTCTTGTCTCACCCAAATCATGCTGGGCACTATTTATGTATTTGTGTGAAAAAAAAATTGCTTTTAGTCACTACTTCCAAACTAATACAAGCCCTGGGTGTTTTGTTTTTCAGATTCCTTTTTCCCGAGGGTGAATCCCTGGATGGTGGCGCTGAGTGTGATCCTGGTGGTTTTGTTTGGTTTCATTGGCCTCACTGTTTATCTCTTTAAAATGAAAGGTAAATATCAGAGGGAGACGTATACTGTACATAGAGGGTTTATTTTAATAAATAAATAAGGGCAATTTAGAAATTTAACATGAAAAGAACACATGATCTGATCCTAAATAAAGAAGAATGCATGTGAATTTATTGATAGAGGGTGGGGGGCAGAGATGCGAGGGAGAGAATAGAAGGGAGAAGAGTCTCAGACAATAGAACTGAACCAGAGAATTGGATCATAGCAGATACATCTCTGTTCCGCTTGGTCCTCCGTTTCCCAGTTTTCAGAGGGTTATCACTGTCTGTCTTTGGTCCCAGTTGAGACAAGGTTCTGCAAAGTCTAGCCTCTCCTATTCGTACTTCAGATCTCTTTTTTGCTAATAAAGTGTAGTGTACCTTGACATTACAGTGATAGGCCCTATAGAAATGCCCCTGTGGTAAATCAGTAAATAAACACATTTTTTCCTCAGTTAGGAAATTAAATAAATCATATCAAATGTCACATATCGCAGACACAGCTGTCCATGCCCTGCTGAACTTCATCCATAAAGAATATCTGCCCAATTTCTAAATACATTTGACATGTTCCTGAGTCCCTCCGTACCCCTAATGAATTGTGTCCCTCTTTTAACAATGTTTCATGAAGCAAGGAGATGAGAATAATTTATATTTTTTTCTGTATTTTTAAGGAAAACTTACTGAAGAAGTTGGTAAGTTTCAATTTCCCTTTTTCCACAAACACAATTTTTGCCCAGGGCTACGCAATTGCATATGGGCTTATTGGTTTCTCTGATTTATTTTTATTTCTCTGTGTTTGTCAGGGGGGTATGGGTGGGGATTGCATGTGTGTTATAGGCTGGACCATTTTAGGGTCCATTTGGATGTTTCCAGAGACCCTCTCCCTTTAAAAGTCCATCCAATTAGGGGGTTAGGTCAGCATAAGTTATGTGTCTCAGGGGTGTAGACCAGCCCTTGATCTCCGAGCTTTTCAAAAAAATCTATAGAGGTCTGGCTTGTTACTCATAGACTCATAGACTTTAAGGTCAGAAGGGACCATTATGATCATCTGGTCTGACCCCCTGCATGCTGC